TTAGCATTAGCCCTGCTCAGAAACGCAGAGAGACTAACTTATGGCAACACAAAATAAAACATGGGAGCGGTGGAGATGAGGAGGTGTCGGCGTTCTGGAGATTTACTCGGAAGGCTTCAGTAGAAGCTGCTGGGAGTCCCAGCAGCTTCTACTGAAGCCAGTCTCCAACTCCGGGGACTTCCGGCCGGGGGACTTTGGAAGGCAGTATACGCCGTGAAGTGGTTTGCGGCCTGCCAGTAAACCCAAAGCAGAAGAAGAAGAAGTGACGTCAGCGGCTTAATTAGCCTAATCCACCCCCAGGGACTTATTCCGGTGTGAACGCGATCTGTACTTAGTTCATCAGAACTAAAGAGTTCTGATGAACTAAAGTGGGAAAAGTACTGCGGTGTGAACGCGCCTATTAAGGTTTTAACGCTACTACTACTTTTATCTATACCGCTGATCGATCCGGTCTTTTAACGGTACTCTTATCGGTTCTTTTGGAGAAAAAAAAGAGGTAAATTGACTAAAGAAATTGTAAATAATGTGAACTCACCGAACTGTATAAAACAAACAGAAAACAAGTATTTACTCCAAAAATACAGTGGTACAGAGCAACACAGGTGGGGCAGACAGGTATGCTGCAAAAGGCCTTCTTCTGGAGGAAGATTAAGGAATACTGACGTACCTGACGTGGAGACGTTACTCGTCGAAAACGGTGCATTTCTCCGTCTGAATGTGGTGCAAATGGCTCGTTACCGCCCTCGCATGCTAAACTCTTATTGCACTTTGGCAACGAGCATTGTCCACATCGAGACGGGTAAAGTTTAACCACACCTCGGAGCCCTTAGTTCTCTCCGCCGTGTGTGTGTGTTGCTGCATGTAGCAGCTGCGTGTGTGTGTGAACTGCCCCGCCCCCTCGCACACAGACGGGGGAGAGAGATCTCTGGTCTGGATTGGAAAGATCGAAAATGCATCATAGACACATTTTGTAGTCTTATTGCATATTAGAAACGAAGTTGGCGAAACTAAAACTGCAATATAATGTTTGTGTAGCAATAATACACATGCCATATATTTTTTACATGTCTCCAGTACTGATAAAAAGACCGATACCGTCGGAGCTTAACGGTACCACGGTCTATAATTCCGCCTCGGGGCCCGTTTAATACCGGGGCTCGGTGCCCATCCCTACTTGTTACAGTATTGATATCGAGGTGTTTAGTTCAAACTAATTTGACATGTGATCGCCGAGCCCTATTTTACCGCATATTCCTTGAGGTTTCATATCCTTTATCCTGTTCATAGTTGTATTTATTCATTTAAGTTTCATTCTCACATCTTCCCAAACTTCTTGTGTCCTCCAGATGTTCCAGAGGTTGTGTATTCACGTGATCCAGAGGCTGCGTCCCGTTCACGCTCACCTCTACCTGCAGCCCGGCATGGAGGACGGGTATGGGATCACTTTTTTGTCCATAATCCTAGATAATCAAAACGCACACTCTCTCTCTCTCATAACTCATTCATTTTAACGTAGTTTCATTATACAGACATATCCACATTTTAGTCAACCATTTTTCCCATTTTAATTTAGCTGTATCTACAGAGCCAACATATGGAAAGAGAACATGAAAGAAAAATACTATAAAAATATCCCCAAAAAATAGGTGTGTGTGTGTGTGTGTGTGTGTGTGTGTGTGTGTGTGAGCAGGAGCGTCCGTCCAGGCAGCGATTAAATACAATTGAACCCAACATTTCAAATGGGAAGCCAAAGCCTCCCAGTACAGCTTCTCTCCCCTAGCCCAAAGAAGTGAATTGTAATAAAACTTGAATTAGAAATATATTGGAAGTCTTTTCACATCTAACGTAGCAGCTAAAGTAATTGTATCAGATGGTGACAGAGATCAAACAGGAGGTGTGTGTCGCTCAGTCTCTCTGGACTCTGAGAAAGATTTATCTCTACATCACTGACACAGAAAACTATCTTCAAAATACATATTTAACTTGTGTTTGATCATCTAAGTTGTCCTTGTTTCGAGCTGTATGTCTTCATGTGTATGTATATATAGCATTTTGTTTATCTGTGTGAGTATTTAATTACGGAGTTGTATTATTTTTTCTTTATCCTGCAACTGGATGCGGCTAAAAACTGAAAATGTTGGATTCTGCTAACCCCTTTGTTTCCCCGCGTGCCTCAGCTCTGACGATATGGACGGTCCGGTGGAGGACATCGGGAGTCGCTCCTGCGTGACGCGCTTCGTGAAGACGCTGCTGTCCATCATGGAGCACGGGGTGAAGCCGCACAGCAAACACCTGACGGAGTATTTCGCCTTCCTCTACGAGTTCGCCAAGATGGGAGAGGAGGAGGTCGGTCTGAACACTCAGTCACTCAGTCACTAGTCTCACCTTCTGTACTGAGAGATGCTTGTCGCCCAAAGGCTTCATCAGTTTTAGTTTCTACAACATGCCTTGTTTCATCCATAGGCAGCACAGATGGGTGTACAAGTAACGAGAAAGAGAAAATAAATGGTGCTTTTTTTAAAGCCAAGAATGAGAAATAATCCTATGAAAGTATCTAGTATGGAAAATATATTTGGTCAAAAGACTTTCTTAGTTATTTCACAATTATTGAGATTTAGATTAAATGATAGATCAATTCAAATTGTTGCATCTGAGTACCCGTATCAGACAAGTGAATGTTATACATTAAAAAGAGTGCAGTGTTTCCCATACATTGATTTAATTGTGGCGGGCTGCCACAATTAAATATCGTCTTCCATAAATGGAGGTTGGATATATTATTATTATTTTATTTTTTTGGTGGTCTAATGGATAGTGAGGTGGGCTGATGATCGGAAGGTTGCGAGTTCAAATCCTGCCTGGAACACCACTTATAGTGTGCCCTTGAGCAAGGCACTTAGCCCTCGGTTACTCCGGGGAGAATGTCCCTGTAATTGGTCATTGTAAGTTGCTTTGGAGTAAGGTGTCTGCTAAATGCCGAAATTGTAAATTACATTTCTGGGAGAATAAACCCCACAGATCCTCAACTCCGGTGTGTTTCACTCATTAACAACGAAACACAGAGCAACAAGAACATTGGGGGGGCGGGGGTGCGGTGCCCCCACAAATAAGAATCAAATTGTGTGGGAAACACTGAGCTTTCATCAGGGCGTGTGGTAAAGGATGTAATATCAAGGTGGTTCCGATTTACAAAAGAAAAAAGTTATAGTTTGC